AGTGATGTTGTAGGATAAATATGACAAATTAAAAGATAAAAAAAACACAGGCGACTTGAAGAAAGGCTGTTAACTGCATGTTTGCCGATTCCAATATTTTAACCAATTATATTGTTATTAATTGATTATTTGATTAAATTATATTTTATTGCTTATCTGACACTGATTTCAATACAATTTTTCAATTAAACAATTATTAGACTGTTTAATCCTGGCCAGAATGAACTGGGTACGTGTATACAGCAGCTTGGATTCATGACTTCAGCATCGCTTCATAAAGCCGGACATCAGAGCTGCATGACACTAAATGTGTGTGTGTGTGTGTGTGTGTCTGTGTGTCTGTGTGCGTCGTGCACTCACAGATCCGTACAGCTTTCCTCGTCGGTTCATGGCCACAAAAAGTCCGCTGCGAATGCCCAGCAAGGTCACCACTCCTCTCTCCACCGGAGAGATCTGCAGGAGACCTGAAGACAGAAAGCAGCGCACTTACTACAACACGCCGGTGTGATGCCCTGCGTGCTACTCCACGCGCGACACACACACACACCGACATTACCGCTTGTGTAAGGAAGTGAGCTGGATGGTCAGACTGAGATGTGACATTTCGGTAAACACATGTTTGAGTTCCACAGAAAACAGCTGATCTTACTATAAGTTAATACACTCCCTTTAAATATGTGTGATGTCATGTCAGGCTGAATGAATCCAGCTCTGACATTTTTGAACATGACTGAATATTTTCACCTTGAGAAATGACAGCGAGGCAAGAAGTTTGGAGCTTGGTCGCTACCCTGAAACACGCTACAGCTCGTATCTGAAAAGGTATCAGAAACACGCGAAGGCTGATCGGACGCCAGCTGATGCGTTTCCTCAGCCTTGACAGGCTGCTGACCGACGGCGTCTTTTAGTTCCATGTATCATTTTAAAGAGTGTGTCAGAGGTTTCGAGTCCTCGCTTGGGTTTTCTGTAAATATATGCAATGTATATGTAATGTATATCCCTGAGGTTTTACGCCTCGTCTTAGAATAGTCACACACATAAAAACTTCCACTGTCTTCGTCCCCGCGTGTTGGGTAAACAGAAGTTCGTCGTTCTTCGTGTCTGCAAATGATTTGAAGTTGCTCGAGCAACGGGCCGCAGGCTGGACCTAACTTTAGTTCCAGCCTTTAGGTCACAGCAGCACAATACGCTCCAGATGTTGGTACTGTGGCGTGGGTCAGACTATACACGTGCGCGGGTCTGACGGATCAGGTGTGTGGCCCCGTTTTATTCGCAGTTAGAGAAAATGCGATCAATCATAAGTCAGCTGAGGTGACTGCTTCCTGTCTAAGAACTTCTGTGGAGTTGTCTTTGCGTGTTCAAACACAGAGTGAGCAAATAAAGTATCAAACTTACTGTAACGATGTTCGTTGTGTACTCCCGTTATTCTGCCATCTGGTAACACCTGAATGTGAAAACCGATCCCCACGTTGCAATAGAGCCGCCTCA